CAGATACTCATCAAAATAAGGTAAGTCTAATGTGTCGTGTGCTAAGGAGTTTAGTGCCGAAGTGGAAAACAAGTCATCGAAGACGTCAGGCTTCACGGGGCTCTCCCAGCTTGGGGTTCTGCTGCAGGCGTGGCCTGTCAGTGGGGCTGGCTGGACCCCGCACTGGTTGTCCTTGGCGGGGCTACGGGAATCGTGGTCCTGTCCCAGGCGTGCGTGGCGGGGAACGCTGCTTAGTTCGCTGGGCACCGGGGCTGGGACGCGGTTCTCTCCCACCTCCAGATACCGGAGGTCGGCCTCGCCGGGCTCCGACAGCACCGCGGAGACGGCTGCCGGGGACAGCAGCTCTGCTAAGATGTCTTCGTGAGCTTGAGTGCCGTATGGGGCAACGCCGGGGACGGTGGCGCCCCCACATTTATTATCAGCAAGGTCGATCTGATACTGCAGTTCTTTTAACAAGTCTTCGATCGACTCACCGTCATTCGGAGACCCACAATGGGACACGTGCTCTACATTTTCACCTGGAAGCTTTCCGTTCTGCGGGGAAGACATAAGAGCAGCTAACTTCTTCTTTTTTGCCTTAAGTTTCTTAAGAAGTTTTAGACGAAGTTTATGAATCTGACCTTCAACGGAGTTTCCGGGGTTTGTGGAAGAAACGTCAATGTCATCTCTGTGAGAGCCGTGGCCAAGGGGAGCTCCGAGGGAGGCGCTGTCACACCTTGCCACGACTCGCGGGCTGGCGCTGACGACGGCATGTGGCAAGGCCGCGCCGCCAGGCCACGGGGGACTGGCCGGAGGGCCGCTGGCCGGAGGCGGCTTGCTCGCACACCCACGGGCTCGCCTGGATGCCTGGTTAGCCTTCTGCCTTTTACCTGTAGTTTTAAAGCCGCCAAAATTACTGGCCCCCTTCACCGAAGGCTGCAGGTCGGCTACGGCGCTCCTGCTGTGAGCTGAAACGCATGGCGGCATAAAAGAGGCGCCCTTGCTTAGTAAGCCCTGGACCCAGCTTCCCACGAACGGTTTCTTCCGAGCTGCTTCCAGAGGTGGGTCCGGGACGGGCTTGGCCATTTGAGAAAACGTTAAAGTTTTTTTTTTCTTCAAAGAAGTTTCTTTTTTCTTCAAATTGCGTATCTCAAGTGTAACACATTGTTCTGGTTTTAATTTCTCAGTTTCTGGTGAAAGGAGTTGTTTGAACGGAACAGACTTTTCTGGGGCAACTGCCCCCTCCACGTGTGCTGACTTCACCCCCTGTGTGGGGTCAGCAGCACGAGTGTCAGTCACAGCGGTGGCGACGACCATGCCCTCCGTATTCCGCTGTGCTGACTGTGTATCTGCATTCACAGTCCGAGACGGAAAGCTTGAATCCGCAAACTGGTCTTGGGAAAGCTTTTCCTTACGTGGAGCTGACACGAAAGAAGCCATCAGTGACTCCTGGGACTGCGCAGCGTCTGTTCTGGCAACTTCATTTCCCGCCACGGGTCCATTTTCTAATAGGAAATCCTCAGAGTTAACCTGGATTCCTTCAAGTGCCAAAGGTAAAATCTGACTGTCAATCACACCTCCTGGATCGGCAAGCAGAAGATGCCCGTGAGTGACAGCTTCATCCTGCGAGAGAGTGTCAGAAGCGACGGACACGCCTGTGGGGTGACTTACTGAGGTCGTGCCGGCCGAGGCAGCACCACTGACGGAACACGATGCTGGGGACCCCGGGTCCCCGGTACCGGGACCAGAAGCACGCCCATCGTCGGTCTTCCGCAGCGGAAGACAGGCGGCTGCTGGGTCTGTCATGCGGGATGTTTTCCTTTCCCAGATGACAATGTGGATCTCTGGAGCAGGAACTTCCAATTTCTCATGCCTTTCGGAACACAGGCCTTTTAAGTCGTCGCACTCCAGCCAGCTTCCTGGGGGATGAGGAGGGAAATGGAAAGCGGTGAGACATTCGAAACCACCATCCCAGGCACACTCCCTTCTGGCCATTCTGACTGCTGCATCATGGACCATCCACCATGGGAGAATGCCTGAAGACATGGCCACATCCTTTTATTGTCATTTTCCTCTGACAAGTGATTAAGTCCTTATTTGGATAACAAAGTTATGTACAAACATCCAGGAATTTGGAAAAGAGAGGTCATTTTTAACCTTTCCTAAAATACCCACAAAAATCAAGACAAAGGAAGATTTAACTTCTGGTACTTAGAATATGGTATCATCTAACTTATCCAACAATATCAGAAAATGGATTTTTTCCCATGCATATGACTTTTCAAGATCAATGAAGCTGTTACTTCAAGTACCAACATTTGTTTTAATTCTTTTCTTCTTTTTTTAGTTAAAAAAAAAGCTTAGGTATTTCGGTGTCTGCTTTTTTCCCGAGCCTCAGTTTTCTCATTTGTCAGTGGGAATGAGATGGGGAATGGCAAGGAAAGAGGTTAACCCCCTCTCCACACGCAAAACCACGAACGAAGCCACCCGCCGAGTTCGTGGGGATGCACCCTCACCGCCCACCGCTGCTGACTCCGTGCCCACTGAAACTGGGTGGTCAGTGGTTCTCTGCCACGTGTGCAGCACTGGAGTCACCCAATGAATATTCGGACCCCATGAGAGCCAGGCCATTGGTCTGGGGGAGAACCAGGACACCTTTTATAAGCTGTGACTTTCCTGCGCTGCCACAGTTGCAACCGTCTCACCTTTACTGCCTGAAGAGGATTTTTTATGCTCTAGAATGCAGTAAAAAATTATAATAAGTTGGTTTTTTAGTTTATTTGTGTTATTGAGAATCACTTCCTCCAAAATTCTGAAGTAGGATTAGAAGTTTAAGGTAATAATTATATTGATAACATGAGTTTCAGTTTGCAAAGTGCTTTTATATCTCATTATTGTGTCATCAATTCAAACCATCCCTAGGAGGGAAATATCAAACATGAAGAATCCAAACAATAAAAAAGAGAAAAATACAAAAATATCAAAGTGACCCCGTACCAACAGCCTGACATGACACTTTAAGAGGATGGGGCCATGTCGTCTAAGACAAAGCAAAAGCTGTGAGTGAAACAAACTCGATAGTAAACAGTATTAAATAAGTGGAAGGGAAAAAACTAGCAGAATCCATGAGCTATACTATTTAACCTTCTATTGAAAAGTTTATTCAGAAAGAGGCTTCAGCTTGACTGGAGCTGTTAGTGAGCCAGGAGTTCAGACGCTGTTTCCAATGAGAGAAGGCCACACAGTCTATAATGTCTAATCGTCTCAGAAACAGATGTTTACTTTTATTTACATTACTAACAACTGCAACTAAGCAAAACTTGTTTTTTTTCTCAATTAAAAACCATTAGTTTCATGCACTCTTTTTAAGAGAAATACAAGGTTACAGACCCCTGAAAAATCAAAATTGCCACCATTCATTTTTCTATGTTAAACATGTATTACTCATATAAAGCAACGATATCAAGTGGAAAAAAGCAAACTGTAAACCACTAGTAATGTATGATTTTACTATTTGTCTAAAAAACTATATATAAGCATACATAAGAAATATAAATATGCCGACATAAGCAAAGTCGAAGTGGTTCTAAACCACAGCGACAGGCGGAGGAGAGGGCAAAGAGTTGAAGGCAAGGGCAAGAAGACGGAGAAGGCGAAGCTCGTCTTTGAACAAATGAGCAAACTGGTGTTTAGTCTCCACACCTACTATCACAAAAGGAGACGTTTGACACTTACCATCGGCATCTAAAATCCACGTTATAAAGTGATTATTTGCTTGGTACTGAATCACGGCGGTGACGTGGTACGCAGCGCCCTCGAAACGGAACACGTAGTGCTGCAAGGCGCTGTGCGGCAGGCCTTCCACGAAGTGCAGCATGAACACGGGGGACAGTCTGTGGGGCACAGAGAGACAAGACAGGCAAACGTCAGGCCACCTGGCCGGAGATATGAAAGATGGTCTGCAGCGGGCGAGTCGCACACGGCGCTTTCGAGGCTAACTGCTCGTTTTCTCGAGCGCCCCAGATGTGCGCCTTAGTCAGGAACGTAGAACTACGATGCACGCACACGGAACCTGTCTCAGACAGGGCGGCCCTGACAGGCGGGAGCCGCCACGCGACAAGGCTCCAACGCAGACTATTAAAAATCGCTGCGGAGCTGCTTCGGCTTAAAGCAGATCTCTTAATTACTTTGTAGAATCAAAGGAACAAGCCAGACATGTTAAGAATTTTCTTTGGCATCAAGTGCCCAAACAAAGTGCTTTTGTTATGGGGACAGGTAACATGTGAAACAAAGTCACAAGCCTAAAATGTCAAATAAACATTTAAAAAACCCCAACAATGCTAATAATTTGGCCAATTTCTACTATCTCACGAAGTAAAGATGGCCATCAAATTAGAATTTCTGATTAGGAAAAGCTTAATTTGAACTAACTAGAGAAGAAAATAAAACATACTAATTGATTTACTATAAACTTCAGGACATCCCTCATTTCAAAAATATGTCATTACACTAATATGCCAAACCAGAAAATAGAACCCAAAGATGAGCCTCAAGTATCTAAATTTAACAGAGCGCTCAGGATTTAAGAAAAATGTTGACTATCTCTCTTCCCAATATTTAAACAGCTGTCAAAACTTACTTAGCTTATCTAAATTTATTCAGCTGAAAATGAACCTGAATCGATGTCCAAAATGCAGATTATTCAGACTGACAAGGATAATCTGTAAATTATCCGTTGTCAATCGTTCTGTTAGAGAATAATCAAGCCTTCAAAATATAAGTCCCTACGAATAAAAAGTCCTGCAAAGCGTCTGTAACGCTCAGCTCCTGTTGGTTTGTATCATACCTGTTTCGTCAATCTGAGATGCCACTGACTGTAAAATGCACCACCATGAAAGAATACTGCCAATTAAACTATACCAGGCCATCAATTTTTAGTCCCAATTGTAGTCCCATTTCAAATACGTTGAAATGTGAACACTGCGCCTTTGCATCCAGGAGCCATAGTGAAACCAAAGATGCATCCTCACGGCTGGAAAAGCAGGCAGTGGGCACCTGCCTGACCCCTTAAGTGCTAATATTTCGTTCTCCTGGCCTCATATGACATCTTTTTGTGACGTCTTCTGAGGCTGGTTACTACAGCATCTCCTGCTGGTCCAGACGACACAGTCCCGCAGTTTCCTGCCTCCTTTGTGTGAGTTTACACGTGGGAATGTTAAATAGGCAGCATTTCTTAATGGCATATTTAGAAACTGGTACAACTTATAAATGATGGCATCTTAGAGCAAATAAAATAAAGCACGTGCCTCCTCCTCTTCCTTATCTAGTTTATTTCCCCCCTGGGTCCCCTAGATTCTAGTGCTCCCTAAAAGTCACAGTATTCTCCTACCTATAATTTCAGCTTGTCTCATTTCCAGCCTCTCAGGTGAGGGTAGGAGTTTACCCCTGGCAGCAGATTTTTATTCTCAGGCTGCTCCCTACCCGCCATGCCTGGAGCGTCAAAGATGATGCTCAGAGCTGAGGTCAGTAAGTCAGGTTCTGATTCAACCATAAGAACACTGAATGGGATGGTCAAGGAAGCTGGAACCAAGAGGTTTCAAGCTAAGATCCGTTTGTACTCATCTCCCTAACGTGAGCGTCAACCTTTCCTATTGTGAGGATCTACCCTCAGGAAAAGGAGGGAGGGAGAAAGGAAGGGAGGAGAGAGGAGGAGAGAAAGGGAGAGAGAGGGAGAAAAACAGATGGACAGACAGCAAGATGGAGCCGTGCAAACTGCCCTGCTCCCAAAGACAGCAGGGGAATGGGGAGCTTCTGATCCGCAAAGGGCAGCCAGTCTCGGGCTGACGGCCAGGAGTACGTTTCTGACTTTCATCCCGACTAATGCAAAATAATGATTCATATTTTAGAAAATGCCAATGTAATAATGTGAATATATTACCTCCAAACTATAATAACGTAGGCTTTAGGTAGAAAAGTCTGCAAATGTAACTCTTAACCTCATTATATTTTAGATTACGTCATTGTTCAAACTATTTCAGACTCTTATGACAAAAATGAGTAAAATCAGGTGTAATTCCAACAATTAGAATTGGTTCATGTTACCTGAAACTGGAAAATACATCTTTAGAAAAATTCAAAGGTTCAGCAAAGGTTTACAAATGTGTCTGTCTTTGGAGGTGGCTCAAGGCTCTCATAAATAATAAAGCGTTTTCTACCAAATAACAAATTTAAATTAAGAAACACAATTTTAACTACTTTATATATCAGTATTCTAACCACGATTTTGTAAGGAAAAGTATATTTATATGCTTTTTAAAAAAGTCTCAAAATCATTACATGCTTCAAAAACCTCTGTAAGCACAGAACAGAATTGTATTTCTCCTACCATTCGCCTATCCTTTACAAATAGTCGTTTTGTCTTGTTTTTTAAGTCAGTGTTAAAACTGAAGTTTAAATAAATAAGCTTTTCAAATGACAATCCAGGATGGTGTGTGACCAAACTCCTAAAGGAGACTGTGGCAGTAATGGGAATGCAATAATCACTTCAAGAGTCTGCGAGGCAGAAGTTACATCAGATTCTAAATTGGTTCTTCATGTCACCGTGCTCTGAATATGTCCTAAACGAGCTAAAGAAAAGTACACCTAAACCCGCTAAACATCATTCATCTCACTTATCGATGGACTCTTTCTAATGGGAACACGTCACAGACATGGATTATCTGAGACAAGGTGTTCACGAACTTACAACACTATTGGTTTTTAGAATGCTGTAACACTGAATCGTGCATGGTATCATGATAGGCCTAATTACTTTTAAGTTATCCTTAAAAATCTATATTACGTTTGTCTCTAAGTTCCATGAAACACCAACAAATCAAGTTACACAAATCCCTAAGTAAAAAAACTACAAAGGATTTTATAAAGACCTTGTCATTTAAATTTTAAGTGAAATTTACACACTAGTTCAATTTCCTACTGAGTACAGGAAATGTCTGAGCCGTTGATTCTGCTGATCAACAGACCATCAGAACTCTAGAAGCATTTCCCACTGAAAACACTAAAGTTTCACAGATGCATTTCCAGATGAAGGCGTGAGTTTTTAACATAAGTAACATATTTGTATAATTAAAAATTTTATGTTGCAATGCGAGCAATTAACAGATCAAACAAAGTAGTAGCGTGAGTTCATCGTCAATGCTGGGGCTTGAGAAAAAGCAGGTATAAACTGTTAGATGAAATTACACACACCAAGAAGCCCAAGTCGTGCAACAGTTCAATGCAGGCTGGCACGCACACGTGCCCGCAGCCCTCTGCCCCCTCACTAAAGACAGGGCTTAAAGAAGAGGCCCCGTGCACAACACCTCAGTCTGAAAGCCTGCACCGCAGGCAGCCGAGACGGACGCAGGGTTTCTGGCTGAAGGGACCTCCTCTTCCCCACTCTGCCCTCCACTTGAATGCTATCAGATGGCGGTGAAGGACAAAACAGGGTCATAAACCGAAAGAACAACGAAAAGGAAAGGAGACATGAGCAAACAAGACAACAGGGCAACGACTACTTAGACAAACGGCAACAGGGAAGCGGCAGCTCGGGCTCTACGGAGTGCGGGGAGTGGACAAGCGGCAGAGTGGGCGCCCCGCTGGGAAAGGAGCCCCCGAAGGATGCAGCGTCCACAGGCAGCATGTGCTGGAGAATGTGGTGGCAAGGCCTAGGGCTAGCACCTGGGGCAGTGACAGAAAGTGTCAGATGGCTCCCACTCACAGGCCCAGAGAGGAGCCGGCACAGACTGAAACGCTGGGGCACAAGGATGCAAGGCACGAAAGAGATTTCCAGAAAACACAGAAGGGGAAGAGGCTCAAAAATGCGAAGCATTGGAGAGTTCAGAAAATCATTAATGGGTGTTTAAAGAATTTGGAAAAAAAAAATCACAATGTGTAAAGAAAGCAAAAGAAACAAGAGACAATGACTAATTGCAGAGAAAATGAAGAGTGATCAGGGAAATGAAACGCAGTCACGTGTCCTGCTCGGCCAGGGAGGGAGTCTGTGCATATTCATGCGATGGTGAGTGCTGACTCAACTGAAAATGTGACGGCGCTGGCAGGGCAGGGAGAGGCCACACGGAGGTGGCCCAGGCCCTGGTTCAGAGCCCGACACTTGACCACCATGAAAGGAGAAGACTGCGCGGTGGGAATGAACTCACTGTGAGAATCCAGGTAAGCACCACCTGAAAGGTGTGAGGTCCACGCCTGCGGATGACGCAGCAGGGGCTCTGCTGCTGGACTGCGAGTTTCTCACTCGGATGAAAACAAACCTTTCGGAAAGACTCTGAGGGGTTTCTTGGCACTTCCAAAGGCAACCGAAAAGGTTACTGGCTCTTTATTACGTTGAATTATACCTCGAAACACTTCCCGTGCAGAGTTAGAGGTGAGGACAACAGAAAATGAAGGTTAAAGAAGATGAGCGTTTTAACAAGAGAGACGCAGACAAACCGCCTCACGTGGGACTGATCCGTGGCTTCTGGCCACGCTCGAAAAGGTTGTTTTGACCAGTCGTTTTGACCACTGAGGACAAACAGAAAGGCTGGCCAAACATGACAGAAACACCTGCTCAAGGGCAGCGGAAAGCTTACAAGAGGAGGAAGCGTCAGACGGCCGAGGCCTAGGAGAAGCCGAGAATTCAGACGGGTGCAGCTGCAGGGCACCCCTGAGTCATCCCAGTTCCTACAATTAGATTAAGGAAACAGCGGAGTTCTAGTGACTCCGGGCACTTGGCAAAGGAGAGAAAAACTGATGTTTAATATCCTCAAAGGGAGAAGAAGGCAAAAGAGTAAGGGACGCCTGTCCTGTAGGAGGGGGGCCCGCTCTTTGGGGTGTCCCGGCTGGAGGCCCTGGCATGGGGGCACTGTCAACTCATAAACACACACTGGTTCACACTTCTGGAAGGCAGGCTATAGTCATCATTTTCAATTCTACACCTTTGAAAAAATACATAAACCCACCTTCACTTCGTTTTAAAAATCAGTAATTTTAACTCACTTTTCCAACACCATTTTCCTTATCTGTGACTTATTGTTGCAGTTGTTACATGGACCAAAATGGGCAGCATTAAGCGGGTGCCACTCAGGAATGACATTTGTGAAGGTGACCAGATTCTTCGTACATCTATAAAAAAAAGATACAGCTTTAATTCATTTGAATGAAATCCATCCATGTTAATTTAAATCGATGTCTAAAATAAGAGGTACTGGTCTTGGTGGTACCCATATTTATCCCCACCCCGGCTCCTGTAACAAACAGGCCGACGTGGCTCCCTAACCCTGGGCGAGCTCTGTGTGAGACTGTCCGCGTCAGTTCCCTACAGTTTCCAGCTGAGAGATGAAGACCTTAAAGGCAGGGTTTCTCCAAAGCAATGCCTGGATGCCCACGCCGGATAATCCTCGCTGTGGAGACCGTCCTGCACATGTGCCTGACTCTGCACAGGGGCCCCTTTCGCTGTGGGGACCACCCCACGCGCATCAGTGTGTTCAGCACCGTGCCTGACCTCTGCACACGGGACCCCAAAGTGGCCTCCAGCTGCTCCCCAGACACTGCCCAATGTCCTGCGGGGCACGAAAGCGTCCCCAGTAGAGAATCACTGTTCTAAGGTTGTCAAATTTATTAAGAGCTCACCCCTTACTCAAAAAATTCACAGCCTGACCACCCATCACTGACAACCCTAAATGAAAAGGGCATTTCCAGACACGGAATCAGGAGTATCTGCAACTCGATCATCTTGGTCCTTAAAAATTAGAAGACAGTTGTGAAAGCAGCGACTGCCTCCACAGGTCACACCCAGGGTCTAAACTGGCACCGCAGTGTGAGTACCTGACAGCAACAGGCATCTCGAAAGATGATCTTGAGAGCAGAGATGTACACTGTGCCCCAGCTGGATTCGCTTTCATATGAACTATCTTTAAAAAAACAATTATTACCTAAGAGACACTGGTTTCTTTCTAAATAATAACCAATGTTGATATGTGACAAGTGACGTAAGCACAGGCTGTAAAAACAGATCTGCTCTCAAGGAAGCTAACATTTTAAAAGCAAAGCAGCATAAAGGATCGACAAATGCGCTGACTGTATTTCTGATAAATTCTTGGTTCTCAAAGGTAGCTGCTAGTAAAGGCTCTTACTCTTCAGCTTATGAAAGGAAACCTGTCCCCGTAAACAAGCGTCAATGTTCCATCTGACATCTAAAGTTTTTGAGTGCTGACTATGTGCGAGGCAGGCCACACTGTGTACGCACGCATCCTTCAAAAAACACTAAGTACTATTTTTATCCCCATTTTACTGATGAGGAAAGTGAATACAGAATGCACATCATGCAGTAAATGGCAGACTTGAGATCTGAATCCAGAGGGTCTGACACAAAAGACCAGTTTTTAACACTAGAATATATGTTCTAAATCGAGCCAACGTTCCTTAATTTGCACTAAAAACAGCAGCTCAAGAACAAATGAGTTTGCTGCATATTCAGATTAAGTGAAAGTAAGTTTTAACCTACAATATACTAAACGTATTTAATGAAATGTCACTTCATTTTAGTTTTTCTTCTGAAACTACTTTTTTTTTTTTTCCAGAACAAAGGAAATTAAAAACAAAACAAAAAAAACAAAATGAGCAAACCAAGTGGCTGGTGGCTTCTTTCTCTTGCTTTCTCAGAGTTTTCTATAAACTTCCGAAATGCACTTATCAGTTCATATTCAAAATAAGTTAAAGCAGACAACAGACCAAAATAATCACGACCCTCTATTATGTGTTTGTATGTTATCTTTCTAACTAGTCTGAGTTTGGCCAAGATCAAGGTTACTTCTGCTGAGTTTCTGGCACCGAATGTACTCAGTGAAAAGCGGCCAGACTGAAATGCAGCCTTTGGAGAAGCTGGAACCCAGCTGATTCCATCGCCAGGCCTGTTCGCACCCTGAAACGGGGGCGGTCACGGAGGGGGCCGAAGCGAGCGAGGAGGCCTCCGAGGCCAGAGGATCTGGGCACAAACTCTGCCTCTTTCCGGTGTGTCACCTCAGGCATCTATTTAACCCCTTTCAAGCTTCAGTTTCTACATCTGTCAAATGGGGAACAAATCAAGTAATTTATATAAGACAGTGATAGAAAACCAGGAAACAAGTATTTATTTTCTTATTTACTTAGGCAAAATTATGTAAGTCCTATGTACACATGAAATGCTAGTACTTTCGAGCTAAGTGGTAAAAAAACAAACCATCGTTTTCTGATTCTGTGGCTTGCACAGTCCCTAAGGCATTCTCTCAGACTCGACTCTCGATGGACCCCAAACACCTAAAACTCACCGCAATCTAAGTAATGAATATCTAAGTAACATTTTTCTCTCACAGTTTTTAGACATTTTTGAAAGACTTTAAATTTTTCTAACTTACGGGCAAGTTAAAGAAAGAAAGGATTTCTCAATTACAGAAATTTTGAACAAACTACTAACAGAACCAGTTTGGTAATCCTTTCGGCCGCTAGCCAGTGACTTCCCGCACATGGACGCAGTGAGGGCAGCACGTCTGAAGGGCCTGTCACTCCCTGCCCCCCCTCTAAACCCCAGTCTCTCCCCCATCACCTGGCAGGAGCACGGAGCGGGGGACTCCTGCAGAGTCGTTCTTCTCCTGCTCCCTCCCGAGCCCGACCTCAGGGCCCCGCACACCAAGCGCAACCCCTCACCCTCCCCTGGAGGCACAGGAGGCAGAAAACATGGCTGACTGCACTCGTGGAAGGTTCTGGGGTGCTGTTAGCCTTTGGGGACCGGGAAAGCGTGCGTTACCTCTGACAACTGCCGCCAGACTCCGGGAGCCTAAAATGTTTCTGTGATGCTGGAAACATAAACGAAACCCTAGCCTCTGCGGAGGGGGCAGATCGCACGCGCTTCCGAGGGGGTCTGACGGGCACTCTCACTCAGCAGGGCAGGCGGAAGGGGGTCGAGGAGGGGGAGCCGCGGTCCCCACTGTCCCACCCCCACTGGGAACTTGTGGGACAACTCCCACTAGTAGTGACGGTCTTTTACTCCCCCAGTCTAAAGACGCAAACTATAATTTCCAGGGTTCACGTTCTTCCCTTCAACCTGAATGCTGAAGACGCTTCAGGACACGGTGGGAGATGTCATCAAGGGGAGAGGAGCCAGGGAGAGAGCAGCAATATACGTGGCAGTGAGTTTTATTCAAACGTCATTACTTGGAGCCATTTTCATCAGGATGAATCCATTAAAAAAATTAAAACAAAAACAAAAACAGAAAAACTAACCTGTTTTGATACTTGTGACCACACTGTGAACATTCAAAGTTCCAAGAAAAAGAGTACGTGAAGAGCTTTTCAATGCAGGGTTCCAATTTTAAGAGCAGGGGAAAGGCAAACACGGGGCTTTCCATGTCACCTTCAAAAACGGAAAGGAAAAGTTACTGCCGTGAAGAACTGGAAAAGGCAAACGCCAACTACGAACGGTCGTCTTTTCTCTACGCTCTCGGCAGAAGACAGGAGAACACGAACATGTGACAGAGAAGTTATTCACACGTGAGCAAATTTCTAAAGCATTTTTCTAAAAACGTCCACAATCAAGATTTAATTATCACTTCGGTCTCTATTTTTCATTTTTCTTGACGGACACTGATGAAACTTCTTAAGACAAAAGACACAGTAGACCAATAATCTTCTTGGATCTTATGAGCTTTTCTCAGGAAAAAAAAAATAATCCTCGGAACTATAATAACCCTAGGGCATTATGAAAATAAACGTTTGTAAATGGTTTGCTACTAAAAACAGCATAACTGGTGAAACATGGTAGAGTAAGTTCGGAGTTGGACAAAGCTATTATAAAACCACCCCTACCCCCAATGGCAGCTCTATGGGAGGAGAGCAGGAGCCCGGGTGAGAGCAGGAGCCGGGGTTAGGCCGCCCGGGTCAGACTCCTACCCCCACGGCAGCTCTACGGGTGGAGGGAGAGCAGGAGCCGGGGGGAGAGCAGGAGCCGGGGTTAGGCCGCCCGGGTCAGAGCACCAGCCTGAGTCTCCCGGCTCCTTGCCGACCCGTCTTCTTCATCTTTTAACAATTAATTTTTTTGCTATGTGTGTATCACCACGTATCAAGCATCTGCGATGAAGCAGCCACTTTACATACACCGTCCCGAGTCTCACAATCACTCTGCGAGGTCAGTACTTTCCTCCTCGGCCACGAGGCTCTGTGTATGGAGCCCCAGGGAGCAAACCTCTTCCCAGGGCAGCACGCTAGTGAGAGGGGGAGCTGGGCAGCCATCCCCCCGGCCAGAGCCAGGCAGTGCCCACAACAATTAAAATTAAACTTCAGCCACGTGAAGACTAGAGAAGATCTGAAATTTGCTGTCATTGAAACAAAAACGGAACCACGATGCTGTCTTCCAGGGTGGAGTCAGCAAGCAAGTCACATAGGAGGGTTTCCGGTCCCCTCCTCCATCCCTTCTCCCATGGGTTCCTCTCCTATCCCATCCTCAGGGAGCTTAGATGCTGCCTCACTGATGTGACCCTAAAACAAATCTGGGTCCTTTCACCCATCCCTCCCCGGGCACTGTCACTTCCATGGTCCAGCTCTTCCCTGGCCTGCGCCTACGGCAGCCAGGAACGCCACCAGCAGTTACCCGGGTGGGAACAAAAGGCACAACAGTAGCAGTTACTGCCTGAGCATATGCTGTAAATATCAACAGTTACAACGGCTACTGTAATAGTTACTTAGGTCTGTGGTATAGTCCTGCTGCTATTTTTGTATAAAAATATAAAATCAAAACATTTTTATAAATAGAAACAAACACAAATCAATCTCCTAAAGATGAACATATGCAACGCCATAGGCATAAACAGTATGTAGTGTAGCATAAGTTTGTCATTAACCACTAATGCTTACTCTATTGCAACTAAATATTAATTGGAAAAGTAGATCGTTTGCATTTCATAATGACAACATAGAATCTTCAGGTCCAAAAATACATGAAGTTCCCAATGAACCATCATGAAAGAGTTGTAATTACAGATCGTCTTAGGTCATTTATGTAGCCCCGACACTGGTCTTTTTTTTCCTTTGATTATAAATTTTATGGCTATTAAATATACAGCATACCACTAGCAGACACATAATGCCAATGCCTAATTCCATTTTTTACAGCCTCCTGCCTAAATTAGTTAAGTAGTTCCTCTGCCTGTAGTAACTTAACCCCAGCGCCTCCCCAACCATACCCGTTTGCCATGGCGCGAGCCTCTCGGCTGCGGCCCGGCTCGCCCAGCGCTCTCCCCATCGTGTGTTCGTGTCTTCTGATGACTCTTCTATCAAGCTCTTTCTTTAACACAGGTACAGAAGATCTTTATAAGACATACCTGACATTTCTTTGTTCGATCTTCGCCCGGAAATATTTAAAGTTTAACGATATGATTACATCTACTAATCTCTTATTAGAGAAATTCTTTCCCACTGAGTGAAAAAGTATTCGCCTATATTTTCTTCCCAAGTTTTACAACTCTGCTTTTTGTGTTTAGGTCTTTAAACATACTGACGTTTCTTTCTGCTTATGGTATGAAGTAGGATGCAACTTTCCCCTGTATCGGGACCCAGCTGTCCCAGGCCATTCACCAGATGCCCGTTCTCCCTCCCGCCTACCTGCATCACCGCCCAGCACAGCACGAAGCAGCCGAAGACGGGGGTTCTCGTCCAGACTGCTGTCCTACTGGTCTGTCTATCCTGACACTGGTACACAACACTCAGACCAAATTAAGCTCTTTCGACTTACATAAGTAGAAACCATAACAATATCAATCTTCTCTTCAAAAAAAAAAAAAAAAGGCAGCATAGAGGTTAGAGAGAAAGAAAACACCCAACTGAGGGTGGCAGCTACCTCTGTGGGAGGCAGCGGGGTGCTGGGGACAAGGATGGGGCCTCAGCTGTGCTTGTGATGCTGTTTCTTAGACTGTGGGGAGGGAGAGCAGAGAAGACAGTTTACAATGTGCTTTTTAAAAACACTAATCAAAATGATAAAGTGGCTGATCTTAAACATTTGACCCACGCTCAGGGTCAGCACAGATGCTACTTCTCTTTCTTCAGTACTTTCCACCGGTATTCAGAACGAGGACAACTCATGGGAAGATTCACAGTGCTCTGAGGAAAGATCAGACTCCGTCAGCAAGGTCCTAAGCTCCAATGCGGCAATGCTGGCTGAGGAGTGCCAACACCGACATGGGGTGCGCCTGGATCGGAGGGGCTCAGGGCCTGGCCAACCGCCTGGCTGCGCGATGCCTCAGAACCCCTCCTCTGCTGCAAGGGAAGCCAGGCCCAAGGCAGTGATGGAGCAAGATGCATCCCTGTTCCAAGTCCAATCACCGGGGATAAGAAAGTGGTGATTCCGACAGGGAGAACCCGCTCTGAAGTCCACCTGGGACCCGAGTCCAGATGCTGAACACAGCATCTCAGGTCACACAGGGAGGGAAATGATACCTGCAGAGTGCGGCACGGAGCCCTCAGGTCTGTGCTCTGCTGGTCCTACGGAAAAGGTGCCTGAAATGAGGGTTGACCAACAGACTGGTGGTTGGGGCGAGGAAGGGGCCGACTCCTAAAAAGCCAGGGGCAATGTTTAGGGTGACAGACATTCTCCATCTTGACTGTGGTAACGGATACACATTTAGGTAAATCACACTTCGATAAAAAGGGAAAAAAAGAATACTCAAACGCCACCTGAGCAGCCCTTAGACCTACAGGCGGCCATGCCCAAGGTTCGGCATCTGGAAATTCAGTTTACTATGGTAACCAAGTAAGTTGACTTCTGTGGGCGTTCGTGAAAAACATGACAATAAAACTAGGGAACAAAACTGTAGCACAAAGAAGTCGGGGATACTACCGTGCAAAAAAAGACACTGCTTCCAGATGCAACAGCTGGGTCTGATGAAATGCCTGCCACTCCCTGAGAGAAAAACTTGAAGGCACTGACGTTACACAATTTAATATGGGTAACGGGTAACGTACTGACGGGGTACCGTACATTCTGTTCCTATGATCCAATATTAATAGAGTTAATACAAGAATAACAAATCAAACAAAAAGACATCCCCTCAAACAAGCTAAGCGCCTTTCTGCAAAACTAAAAACAGATCCAGCGGCATGCTCCACTCTGCTCCCAGAGGCCAAAAGCCGATCAGAGGACAGCAGGTCTCATTCTTGCGCCCTTTTTAAAGGTGAGAAAGTTCTCCCAAAAGGTCATCAGTATATTTCTCCTCACATCCTACTGGCAAAGCCTGTGTCATCTGTCCACGCCTAAACCAGCAACAGCGGGCAGAGCAGAATCGCTCTGCTGGGTTAAGATCAGATATTCTCCACCGGGCCCACCGTAGGGATCACGTGGGCGCGCCTGAGGATGACTGACCGAACCCCACCCGAGATTCTCTGAACGGGCCACTGGCACTAGCAGTCGCTCTTACACTCTCTAGGTGGTTTTCAACGCACAGTCAAGGAGGGAAATGCTGGACTGGCCTACTGGGCGAAAGCAGGCAGAGGTGCGCTTCGGAGTCTTCACCTGGCTGGGGCCTGCCCCCGCTCAAGGGGTGGAGCCCAGCCAGCGTATTTACAGGGCGCAGCTCTGCCCGCCGACGGTTTACCAGCAGTCGATTCCTACATGAAACCACTCAGATTCTCCCTCCCGAGAATGTGATCATCCAAAGTAATAAAACAGCATCACGTTTCCTTATGATGTAAGTATGTCTTTACGGTAAGTGAGTAATACAGTTAAATCTCACAAATTACTTACCTAATGTGCATCTAAGCTGAGGCTGGAGTCTAAGAAAAATTTCATCTCTGACTTCATTCAGACAGGCCTCTATCTTTGCAAAGATTTCTGAATTAAGTTGTTTACAATCTCCACCTAAAAATATGATACAGAACATTATCATTTCTCATCAACCTATATCTTTTCAAGAAAATTAAGACATTACCAAGAATGAAAGTTTATCAGTCAACATATTTTGCAAACAGACATGAAAAGCGACGTTTCCTTCACCCTCCCTCCGCCCTCTGCGGCGTGCTGTGCACTTCCTCAGTATGTTAATGGCACAGCACCGTCAGCGCCAACTGGGCCAGCGCCATTATAAGGAGTCTTAAGAAGTTATGACTATTTCCCAAACATCTGGTATAAATCCCTCCTTCTCTGTCATTGTTTGGGAGGATGGGAAGGGTCTGAGGGGCCTTCGACAACATCATAGCATTTATACAATTCCACATCCTGCTTTTTTCACTCAAATTTGCTTCATTAAAAACTCTGCAGGCTCGTTACTACACTCCAGTGAAGCCACAGTTTTATTAATCACTCCCCTATAGCAGCACGTTTGCTGCTGTGAATACTATCATGATGAGTGTCTTCGAGCACATACCTGTCCATGTTTTTGATAATTTCTTTAGGACAAAAGTCCTCAAAATTGAATTACTGTGACAGAAAACTATCCAAGATTAATAAACAAATTATTTTTAATAAAAGCCTCCATATACCTCTGAATCCTGTTACTCTTAAAGCTACAAAGAGATCTTTTCACTCAAATCTTACAAATAAATACATACAGCCGATCACAAGCATCAATCAGAACTTTTGTTATTTGACCACGCCAGAAAAGAACATTTATAATTCAAAGAAATGCAGCTCAAATGTAATTACAACCGTATTATAAATACTATTAAATATTCTCTAAAAAATTAATAAGATTAAAATATAAGATTAAAATGAATTCAACAGTCGAGTCAAAATTTGAACGAGAGGTATTCTTTTCTGCAATGAACTGTCCCCTACTCAGCATTATGGTGCCTATAATTATAGAAAACAGAAACAGAAGACAAAAGCAAAAATGCTTGTGAAAAACTTAACTTTAAAAACTGCAAAGAAATTCAATCTCAAAGAAAGTCAAATTGAAACAAAATACTTCTTATCTAACAAAATTATAACTTTTAAATGTTATACCCAGGTGACGAGCGTGCTCTGGGATGTTTTCTTCTACCTGTGAAAATGTAATTACGTGCTGGTGAAAGCCTTCTGGAAAGCCATTCGGAAAGACTCTTTTTGTATTTTAATATCCCTTCTAGGATATAATCAGCAAGGGATTCAGAGGATAAATGGATATCTGTCATGCTGTTTATTCATAATAGCAAAAAATGGTAATAAGCAGCTTGATTGGTCACCAATGGGGAAACAATGTATAAGATTTACATAAAAGACTGCATGAGCAAAGTCAAGTTGAATAAAGGATTCTTACACTAGCACATAGCAAGACCAAAAAAGCCCTAATAATCAAAACAGTGTGGTATTGGTGCAGGAACAGAAAAAGTGGCCAAGAGAACTAAGAGTTGACAGCTGTCTTCATATATGGAATGTCATATGACAAAAGTGGCATGAATTGAGACAAAAAGTAGAGCTAAAAAAACTGGCTATGCAACGGGGAAAAAATGGGACCTTACCACCACACGTCACACTCAAAAAAATGATTCCAACGGAATTAAGGATTTCAATGTCAAACGCATAACTTTATGACTTTTCAGCGAAAATAGAGAAGAATGACTTTCTGATTTGGGGGAAAGAAAAGTTTTCTTTTAAAAGCCAAATTACTAGCTACGAAAGGAAAGATTAACAATTTTTGCGCATAAAAAGATATCCTGTAAAAAGTAACAACACAAATTCTGAAAAACCAGTAAAATGCACCCTAAAAGCCATCAAAAAAAAAAAAAAGTAAAAACACAAGATACAAATTGGGTGATTTATCAGTATGTATCAGACATAAACACAGAACAAGGACACCTAAAACTCACACAAACCAGTAAGAACGTGGCGGCAGAACGGAGAGGGATGACAGGCAGGCAGGCACTCCACAGAAGACAGAGCACAGCCACCCTACACGTGAAGACCTGTTCAGCCTCTTTAATATCTGGGAAAGGCAAACTGAGACCACAGACTGCTCCCACCCATCAAAGAGCAAAGGTCTCCCAAGTGTGCGCATAACCCAGGGAGAGTCTGCGGAGCCAGAAGCCTCTCAGACACCGCCAAGGGGTGTGCTGATGGGCACGAACTCCGTGGAACACGACTCACTGTGACACTGTGACGCTGGACTCACACCTACGATGGGGCAATCCCATTCCTACCGTACAGCCAACGGGCTTGCTACCTGTATGCCAGGAGACCCACCTGAGGACATTAACAGCAGTAGCACTGTAATGGCAAAAAACAACCCAAGGGCAGCTGAATGAATATATTGATGTATTTACAAAATGGAAATATTCTAGAGCACTGAAAATCAATGAACCACAAAAGGAAGCAGCTTCGTAGATAAATCTTTAAAAAAAGAAAAAGGGGTCCCAGAAGACATTGCATAATATCCTTTTTTTATTAAGTTGAAAACAAATTAGACGTTATATTGTTCAGACACATCCGTAGGGCAAACCATTAAGGAAGAAGGAAGGACGGGATGCATTCAGAGTGATGATTGCCTTTGAGGGGGGGGCAGGGGTAGAAGATGCGGGGGAGGAGCACATGGGCACATGCAAGTTATTGGGACTATTTTAATTCTTCTTGGGTTGGGAGTGGGTTCGTGGGTATCCTACTTTATAGAAAATAAAATGAAAAATATATCCCTCATTGTGAAGACAGATTTTGGGGAGAGCTGCAGAATTGTGGGTGATCTGTGTTCTTTTTTCTGCTTTATGGCAATTAAAAAACTTAAAATTTTACTTAGATGCGCTCTCTGATGAGCACTGTTACCCTGAGCTAAGATCCACTACAGCCTCTTTTGATGTTCACTCGGTTTTTGAGAAAGGACTGCCTTTCGGGGGCAGTCATGATGTAAGTGGTGTCAGTTCAGTTTCACGACAGCTCCCGGGTCTCCACACAAAACAGAGGCTACTGATGGCATCTTTTCCACGGGCTGTGAGATGAAACTCAACATTTTCTTTACAAATTAAAGAGAAATAAAGTATTACCACGGACCTTCGACTCCATCCACCTGGCTGGCGTGCAGCAGCTCGCTGGCGCGGCTGTACTGTGTGAACAGCTGCCAGAACACGGAGTCCTCTTTGGCGCACAGGTGGGTCAGCACAGCCTTCCTCAGCACTTCCAAGTGCACCAGCGCTGACAGGAGGCAGTCCAACCAACAGAGGGCATGAGAGTTTCTCCACTGCACACACACAGTCCGGCAAAACGACCTGCACCTGCTCTCCAGCGGCGTTTCCAGTCCAGGCGTGCCTCCTTCATTTTGAGGGGTAGCGTTGCCAGTTCCAGAAACACCCACTGTAGCAGCATCTTCTTCAGCAGCCACGTCAGCAATAGCAGCTTCCAATATCTCGTCGTGCTCCAAGGAATTATCGGCCCTAACTGGGTCCCGCTGACCACCGTGTGGTGAGCCAGGTATGTCCGATGCGGCTTCATCACGGGCCTCTTCAGAACGTCTGCTGCCCAAAACCCGGTCGCTACCGGTGACGATACGGTCTTTAATCTTTTTGGAATTTGCTAAAGGAGATGAGTCTCTATAGCTGGTTTCCAAGAGCTTTCTTTTTTGAGGCTTATTTGGAGTCTGATGATCTTCCAAATCAGGAGAAATTAAGTTATTAAGTGATTTAAAGCCCAAAGGATAGATGCACTGGAAAGGAAAGATAAAATGATAAAAACTACAAAAAGTCAAGTAATCTCAAGTTTTACTTTACTGTTCCTAAGTCATTAAAACATGTACAAAATTTTAGCATCAACATGACATGAGAGGGTATAATGTCATTAACCTAAATTTGAAGGAACTAGAGATAAACAACTATTTAATAAAAAATTTGGTCCCCAAGAGAATAACTATTCCTAGTGAATTTAAACAATCAAGGCTTTAATCTGAATCACCCTAGGTTAAGCAGACAAAGAAAACACATACTTTTGCTCTGATAAAAAGCTAACGTCGAGTGGATAAAATTTTTCAACAGTTTAAAGAAATATTTTACGAGTGTGTTATTCTTTTAGGGACAAGTACACTGCATAACACTAAAAATTAGAAAAGCATTTTCAAATAAAAAAGTTACGTGGAGTAATTTCTGTTGCTTCATTCTGAAGCTGAGTATTAACTTGAGAGAACATCAGCACATCAACTTTGGATCTTTACTGGGCCTAAGAGTCAAACTGGCTGAATTTTAACAACTGTCAAATCTCACTGTGCATTAACCCATTTTCAGTCAAATATCAACAGTATAAACAGATGGCTAAAATAATCAATAAGTTCTCCCTAAGTTTGATAACCAGCAAAATATTTCACAAGACAAATTCAAGAAACGTATGTACTACGTGCCCTCATTCAACACATGCCGCCCTCTCCGCAAGCAGCCGGACTGCGGCCTCAGTGGCCTCTAGTGAACTGAGGAACAGCACCTCCGGCTACTCCTGTCCTCACAGTCAGCCCCTGCCACACGACACTGGGTTGGGCCATGTGACGAGCGGCGATGGGACATCAGCATGAGTGATGCACCTGCAGCCCTGCTAAGTGCTGGCTCACGGGGCCGGCCCCCATGGAACCCCTCTGGAAGACCCTCCCCAGTCCCAGCCACCACACTGTGAGAGGTCAACCCAGCCTCAAGGACAGACCGGTCCTACACCCTGGGGAGAAGAACCCAGACCCTGGCTGACCGCCTGAGCTGGGACCCAGCTGGCGGCGCGGTCCCACTGCCAGCCAGGCGGACATTTTGGTCGTCCAGCCCATGGCATCGAAGGTGTAAGAGCCGCCCGGCTGCCTGGCCAACCTATGGAATCGTGAGGAATAATAAGTGAAACCATTAAGTTTTTTAGTCACTAAGTTGTGAGGTGGTTCGTTTCACAGCAACAGATAACTGAAATGCACTAAATACAGTTTCTTCAATACAAACAAGATACTCACGATACTGCATTTATTATGAAACTGTTTAATAGAACAAGTTCTAGATTCTTCTGTTACCAACTAGTTGTACAGTCACTGTCAAACAACTTTACACCTTGAGAGTACTTCCTAAATCCTACATATGTCAGTAAATGCTTTAAAACAGCAATAATTTTCTATTCGAAGTATCCTAAAAAGGGGTATACTCCCCCAAATTAAAAGACCTCAGAGATACTTGCACACCCATGTTTATGGCAGCAATCTTAACAGTTAGGAGGTGGCAGCAACCCAAGTGCCCATGGGCACACAAGTGGGCAAAGAAAACGTGGTATATGCACAAAATGAGTACTACTCAGCCTTTAAAAAGGAAATCCTGTCACATGCTATAACATGGATAAACCCTGAGGACATTATGCTCAGTGAAATGAGCCAGACACAAAAAGACAAATGCCGTATGTGTCCACTTATATGAGGGACCTGACGGAGTGAAACTCATAGAGATAGAGAAAAGGGTGGGAGCGGGGCTGGGGGAGGGCGGGAGTTACTGTTTCATGGGGACAGTTTCCCTTGTGTGAGATGAGAAAGTCCTAGAGACCTGCTGCACCCCAATGTGGATGCAGCTGACACTCCTGAGTCGGACACTTAAAAACGGTTAAAATGATAAACTTTGTTATGGGTTTTTTTTTTTTTTTTGGTTACTGCAACTAAAATTTTTTAAAAATTTCGAAGAGGCAAAAATTAAAAAGCAAACAATCTTTCCCAATCTCAAGCAGAGTCAGCACCCTACTTAATAAAGAACAATAAACCAGATTCTTTAGCGATGACGGTTCTTTTACCCGTACTCCTAGTAAATTCACCCATCTCATGGTTCACTCAGCTACACGCTGACGACTCCCCACGTGCATCTCCAGTCACAAACACTGCACCCAACGCCAGAAGCACAGATCCAGCTGTTCGCTCCAGACCCACAGATGTTGGGCAGATGTCTCCAGCTTGACTGGTTCTGGCCTCCTGATCCTTTTCCCAATCCTCCTCTTCCAAAGCCGTGTCATCAAAGTAACTGGCAATTCCACTCTTCCAATCATTCAGGTCAAAAATCTGGGACTCGTGCGTGAGCCCAACCTCTCCTACAGTGTAGCCCAATCCCTCAGCGAATCCTTTCGGCTCCGCTTTCAAAATACACGTAGAATGCAACCATGCCTCATCGCCTTGCTCACCATCTGCTCTGCCTGCAGCTGCCTTCCAACTGGTCTCCCTGCTTGAGGTCTTGCCCATGACACACGCTTTCAACACAGCAGCTACAGTGACCCTTTGAACACGTAAGTCAGATTATGTCACTGCTCTGCCGACATCCCTACCTGGGTTCTTCATTCAGCCCAAGTAAAAGCCAGAGACCTCACAATGCCGACGAGACCCTCCTTGGCCCAGCCCGCTCCTGTTACTTCTCCGACCCATCTTCTGCGACCCTGCTTCCTTTGCCAGACCCAGCCACAGGTCTCCCCGTGGCCACACAGACATGGACGGGCAGCCTCCATGTCTCAGAGATCCCCACAGCTTCTTCCTCCTCATCTCCTTCAGGTCTTTGCTCAAACGCCACTTCCTCCATGAGGAGTTCCCTTCAACATCTACGTAACCCTGCGACGTCCCACTCGCTGACACCCGGTCCCCGTGGCTCTATTTGCCTCCATAGCACTTTTCATCACCTCACACAAAAAAACACACTTGACTTGTTTATTTTCTTCCCCACTCTAGAACACCACCTTTTTGAGTGAGAAATTTTTGTTTGTCATTGTGTCCTACCATCTGGAAAAGTACCAACACAGTGACACTCAAGAAATGTTTACTGAATAAATGCACGAGAAACGTATTTCCAATCGTGAGAATGCCTGGGGTTTTCTTCAAGTTGTACCGAGCAAAGCACCACCAACAGTGCGATTCGGTCTAGTTTTTTCCAAATGTGGCTAATCATCAGACTCGTCTTCAAAAGTTAAAAAAGTTATAGAATATCTGGCTCAACTCCACCGAGTCAGCACCTAAGGGAACCAGGGATTTTTCAAAAGCATAGGACAGTCTAATGAGCTGCTAGTTTAGCTGGAATAAAAGCACCTGAAATCCGAAGGCTGCGTTCCAGCCACAGCCTGCTGCTTTCCAAAGGCCTTGCGTTCCTGAACTCTCTGCACGTGTTCTTATTCACAAAATGGGGACACCTACTTCGCGAACTTATGAGAATTAAATGTGTGTGTGAGTTTCTTAGCAGTCAAGTACAATACAACGTAGGGCATTACAGAACTTAATGAGCTCCTTCCTATATAAAAGTTGTACCAGTGGGTACAAATTACTATAATTTATTCTAAAAGACATTTAGAGCCTTAAGTACATAACCTGCAGAGACTAATAACTCCTCCAATTAATCCCAAAGTTAATACACGAAAGAGATGAGAGAGTAACTACTATATACCAACAGCTAGCAAGGGCCCTTGAGAAGTTAAAAAAATCAATCTTGAAATATATGTTGTCCTCTCACAAGACTAATGACGATAAAAACAAACATATTGCAATAGCATACCAGACAAATCCAGAAACTCTGATTATTATGTATTACAAATATACAGCCTGGAAAATACAAAGTGAGCACAAAATTAAATACCGAAGGAAAAAGCAAAAGACTAAAATCTCGATACTATCTACGATTAATACTTTACCTGCAGATCCTCACACAAAGAGATAGATTCTTGAAAACTAATTCGGTAAGTCTTTAAGGCTTTTAACTTTCCCTTCTCTCTGCAAGCAGGGCAATACCCATCTGATGGGACATTAGCAGAATCACAATTCTAAAAGAGAAATAAAGTAAATTAAAATATAGACATTCTTAAATTGTATCAAATTACAAAAAGTTAAATGGAAAAGTAAGCAGGAAAAAAAATTACACCTTTCACCTAGAAATGTACTGCAAAGATATTTTCGACATGGCAAATAAAAAATGCACACAAGCTTTAAATACAGCTATTATTCCAAAAAGAATGTATCATACTTTTAAATATTAAATTTTAAGTGTTAAGAATAGCATCAGTTTTATTTTCAGGAAACAAAGTAATGTCAATTGCCAAGGAAAATGCATGTTCCACATTTTCAGAGAATAGCAAACCATAAGATCTATGCTTTATTTCTACTTTCACACATTAATAAGAGACAGGTAACACAGTAAAACAATCTTTCGCCATTGCTATAAGATTTCCGTGGAAGATACAAATTTTTAGAAGTTAATTGGTAAAATTAAAACCGAATTAAAGTCTCAAAATAAGAGAAAAAAAAACCAACTTTGCACGGAGGCAAAAAATAAGTTCACTAACTTTTCCCAAATACCCCACCATGTGGAGTGAAGATTTCCCTATATGAGTCCCTGGTCCAATCACTGGCAAACCATTTCCAGTCTTCGGGGAATCCATCATTCCGAGTCATTGGCTAATTTATGTCACTTGAAACATGTCAATATCACTAAGGATTTTTCAATGAACCCTGAAAAAAAAAAGTCAATAGACAATTAAATAAAAATCCTATTTACTCTGAAAAAGAACTATGCTATTTTACAAAACGTATATATACTAAGTATATTCTGAGAACTGCATGTCCTAAGATAAACATAGTTTAAAATTGTAATCTTGAAGTGCAAATAAAACATCTGAATTTATTTATAAACCTAGCAAATTTGTGGGGAGAGGGCAGAGGCTGGCAATAGGACAGGTTTCTATAGTAGACTCATTTGCAAGCAAGTTTATCAAAACTTTTAATAGAGATACTATTATTTAAAGCCAATTTAGATTGACCAGAATTTGAAAGCCTAAGATTTTAGTCTATGCACAATTTAAAACAAACATGTCAGCATGATACTAAGAAACTACTTTAAAAAACCTCAGATTCATTGTGCCAATACTTGACAGGGAGAAAAGAACCCACTCTGCTTTCAACCATCAATAATAACACTACTTTTTAAATGCTGCCGACAAGATACTACTTTACATTAAAGTAAATGATCTGTATCAGCACAAAAATATGTTACACTGTTACACTACGATTTACACATGTAACAAGCTTGTTTTGAGTGTAGTCCCATTGATCAGAACGACATTCAATAAAGTCAAAATTATGAGACTGGAGCTCGGTATAATTAAAGTGATTGTTAAAAATAGTTTAGAGAGGAATTCAAAATACAGGAAAACCAGATACAGGAGACTCAGTAGAGCTGTAAAATAATTTCAAGGTCTTCCTCGAATCTGAAAATCCATGATTTAATGACAATCATCTCCTGAGAAACTGCAGCTCACAAGCTCACTTTAAAAACCAGTTATGCTTTTCTATTCTAGCTGTATACACTTTACATGCCTTTCAAGCCAAGGAATAATTTAAAAAATAAAAACACTTTTAAGCAAATCAGTCCCAGTGCATCTCAATTTCCGATTCCAGAAGAAATATCCCCAAGGCAGGGCTTCTCAACTACAGCACTGCAGGCGTTCTAGACCAGCTCGTTCTCTGTTGTGAGGGCTGTCCCACGTGTCCTATGATGTTCATTCAGCAGCATCGCTGACCTCTACCTGCTAGATGCCCATGGCACGCTCCCCTCAGCCGGGACAATCAAAAGTGTCTCCAGACAGTGCCAAATGTCCCCTTGGAGGCACAATCGCCCCACCGAGAACCACAACCAGAAGAGTAAAAACAGGTTGGTACTAAACTTTTCCTTTTTAAGCTCCTCACAGACATTACCAATTTACTGTCTTAGGTTGGTTCTTCTTAAAACTCTACCTGCAAAAGGGAACCATACAGGAAAGAGTCAAACTTCTACAGGTCCAGAGTGGCTAAGGGCAAGGGCTTTATAGCTGCACATCTGGGTTCAGCGAACTATTGGTAAAATGGTTGTTCTAAGAATTAAATGCAATGATATATGTCAAATGCTTAGCACCTGGCACAAAGTAAATTTTAACTACTATTTATCTGGTGCTAATTCTATACTTCACTCTGTAGAAAACATGCAGCACATCTTATATCAGCCTGCACTAAAGAAAAACTGGTAATCTATCTCTTGAATAAATTGTTCTTAGTGAAAATTTACACCTGCTTGAGGGATCTAGAAAACTTTTTCGGGTGGTTCTTTCAATTATAAAAGTGAAACATAAGGAGCCTTGCTATCTGCTCCCCAGATCCCACTACCACCATTTCAATGCGAAAAGCAGGTCGGTTGGTGGCTGAAATCCTAAATACTCAGAACAGCTGGGGGTTGGAGACCTATAGGGCAGAACGCCTGAGCGAAAATATTCAGTTGAAAAATTGGGCTATTCAGGCCGCATACAATTTCCTTTGTCCTACATACAAAATCCTGGGGGCGATTCTTACAACTCAATCTGTCCCTAAACGACCATCTTCACAGTGCTCCCTTCGAAAATAACTGGCTCCGCTTTCTTGTATCTCCCCTATACGTTGGCATCTCCATCGTTCCAAACACAAACACTAGAACATCTGAGCGGTTCTCTACCCTTCCACTTCCCTCTTCTTCACACAGTTAAGTCACCAAATTCTGCGGACAGTTCTTTGGAAGCATCTCCAGTCCCCACTTCTCTTTCCATCCCGTCCGCACTCCATACCACTATGAGACCAGTCTGACTCTGTCCTTGCTCAGCTATGATCTATCAACACCAGCCCGACTCTGGGAAAGTCCAAACAGCGCAGCGTGTGACCTGAAGGTAGCACGAGGACCTAAAACGAAGCCCACTGCGCTGCCAGCCCAAACCGGCCTCCCAGTCTTCCACTTCGCCCCCGGCATCTCTCTTCTGACGCCTCCCTGTTCATTTCTTCTGGGAGCCAGAAACTCCAAAAGCGTGTACATGAACTGCTGGCCCAGTAAGCAGCCAGTAACAACGCAATGGATGTGTGAGGGTGGCCACGGGAACAGCGAAAAAGATGCAATTACGCTTACTTCGCAGACCCGCGTGCAAAAGGGGGAAACCCAGAGAAGCGGCTGCTCAAACAGGAGCCTGACAGGCACCGGAGCCTGCCTGCCTGCCCTCCGAGGCCCCGCGGGCGCAGCCCCAGCGCTGTCGCAGGTGAGGTCGCGGGGGGCCTGCAGCCGAGGCAGGGGGTCGGGCGCCAGACCCCGCGGTCGTCAGCCGGGGACGGGCAGGACCGAGAAGTCAGTTTCCAAACGCGACCTTGGCAACCAAGGCGGCGCAGGGTTCCGTTAACCCTCCGCGGCTGCACGCCCCTCGGGACGCGCGAACACGACTCTGGTTTCTCTTCAGTTCTTACCTCTCCGCGCCCGAACGGCTCCGGAAGCCGACCCGCACACCTTCCCCCCGCCCCGGCCCCTCGCACCGGAGCCGGGCCCCGGCCCGGCCCACCCTGCCAGTGCGCACGCCGCCCCGCAGCTCGGCCCGGTTCTGTCCCCGCTTCCGGCGCCAGAGGACGCTGCTCCTCCTCCCTTACCTGCGCCAGTACTCTGCTTCGAGCCGCGTCGTTCCGAACTCCGGTCCCGGCTCGAGCGCCGAACCGCGCGGCGAAACGCTCTCCCCACGTTCGGCCGCGGCCCGCTCCTCCCCAGCGGCCTCTCCGCCGGGAAGGCAGCTTCCGGTTTGGGTCCGCGGCAAAAGAGTTCCTTTTCCGGTTCCGTCCGGGCCACAAAGGATTTGGTCCGTGAGCGTGGCGGAAGGCGAGGACGGGAGCACTTCCGGTCGGCCTCCGCAGAGGCGTGGCCGTCCGGCCGGCTGCCGCAGCCGCAGTTTCTGCTGCGGAGACGACTGGGGGCGGGGCCGGTGGCTGCAGAGCCCGCCATCTGTGAGTGGCTGCGTTGGGGGAGGCGACGTTTCTGGAAGCTGCTGGAAGGCGCTGGGGTGGCGGAGGTGACGCCAGCGGCCAGGGGGGTGGGGCGTGATTAAAACTAGTGCGCGGCCGGCAGCGGAGGGATTAGGCCGAGGACCGGCCCGGGCTCGCGCCAGCCTGAGTCGGAAGCCGACGCGCCCTTGAGTGACCTGGCGGGCGGGGGAGGGACGGGCCGCCCAGCCCGCCGAGGCTGCAGTGGAGGCCGTGGGCCGGTGCGTCCCCGGGGCGCCGCGGTCTCGGAGACTCGAAAAGCCTCGGGGCGAGCCAAGCTGCCCCAGTGCGCGTTCACAAAAGGTCACCACACACGGAGCTGCCCCTCCCCGCCTCCCCAAACCCCACCTTCGAGGCCAGGGGCCTCTGTGCCCGGATTCTGGCGTGTTTCTCCTCCTTTCCTCCCTCCCAGATCTTCTAACGGTAAGGGGAGTAGTCAAAGCACGGGGACGCTCCGCTGTCTGCGGCCGGTCCCTCCCCGGCGGCAGCCGGGCCGCCCCTGCCACGCCAGCTGCAGCGCCCTGCCTTATCTTAACGTCGGAGGAAGGGGCAGTTCTCATTGAGTTTCTAAGTTAAAGGCTCTGCTTCCGTAGGAAGGTCATCTGGCTTAAGGGACGTCGTGACCGCGTGTGCTATTTCGGAGTCTGCATTCTCAATCTTGGGGGCAGCTTACTCCAGAAGTCCTTTTGGTCGATTGGTTGTGTGTCCTAGAACACCGGTGTGTGGTTTCTGACCAGTGCTTTACGGAGTAACCAGTGGCTTTTTTTTTTTTTTTCTCTTTCCCCCCGCCCCATTAAGTGGTCTCAAACGGAATGATTATATTGTGGAATAGCGCTGATCATTTAGATAGGATGGTATGGGGAAACAAGTCCCGTGAAATCCTTCAATAAAAAGTATTTTAGTTTTTGGTATTTCTCAATGCGAATGGTCAAGAAACCCAGCAGGGAGTTTGTTGTTTTGTTTTTCTCAGACTGAAAAAAATAGCCTGGTTAGTTTTTGTTTACCTTTTTTTGTTGTATTAGGTTACTAATGTGTTGGTATATTTGTTATAAGATCTAGCTAGTTAGGTTTCTTTTTAAAAAAATGAGTTATGATGAAAATATGAGAGCATAGGGTTTCCTGCTGGAATAGCCAACACTTAGGGGTGTTTTTTTTTTTTCTTGTTCACCATTGCTATTTTCATTTTTGGAACGGAACACACTTTTTTGTAATAAACATTTGCTGAATATCAACTTCATAAATTGAACAAAATAATTGATTCAGGTAAAATGTAGCTAAAATTTTAAGATTGAGAAATCAATGTCAGCAAACTGAACTATATCAATCAAACATCGTTCTGCAAAGTTGGCTCTTAGTCTTTTAGTACGAATTTGATTTTTTTGCCAGGAATGAAGTATGTAATATTAACAGAAACAAAATGGAGGGGCAGCTTGGGTTGTGGAAAGAAAAGATTTTAGTGTAAGCTGTGTTTTGACTCCAGAGCTTCTCCCTTTGTAAAAGATGGAAAAAAACATATTCGCCTTTGTAAGATAAAAGGATACTAACGTAGTGGTACCAAGTTGAGAAAACGGTATGTGTTCCTGTCTGCTGGACTTGGGATGCTATTTCAGTGTGCCGCACTGGTCAAGCACAGTTACCTCCCAGTAGGATTAAAGCTCATTCCCTCAGTCCTCTCGTCAGCCATGCGGGACAGAGTTTTATTTACATATTTCCATTTAAAAGCTGACAAGAGCTAATCAAATGGAGCTTTTATTAAATTAATAACATATGAGGCTACCATAGGAATGCAGTGCTGTAGTTAGGAGTTTCTTTTCTTCTTTTACTCTAGTCATCATCTCAGCTTTTGCCCCCTCTACGAGTTTGGATCTCTTAATCACAAGTCCTTGGCCCAAATCTGGGATGTAAAAGCTGCCTGCTTGTTCTGTCCCCATCAGAAAGATGAGAGTTGAGGTGACTAACCACATTTTCTAGCAGCACCTTTGTGAGTCTGTAATTTCTTAATTCCAACATTCGGAAGGCTTTGACGACCAAAAACTTTTTAAGCTTGGAGACAAAATTCATTTGGTAGCAAAATACGACCTGAGCTAATGAGTTTATACATTTAATCTTTTATCACATATTTTGCTGAAGAAATATTAATACGTTTGATTATGGGATGCTGCCCTTAGCCACTGGTATGTGAGGTTTTACATAATGGTTTGTGTACCTTGTAACCTTTTTTAAGTTCCAAGAAATTCTTATTTCTAAAACACATCCAGTCCCTGAGTTTTGGTTAAGGAATGCGAACCAATGTTAATATTTTTGGCAGTACAATTGTACTAGGCATTTGTATATTTAAAAAAAAATTAAAATAAGACATCTTAGTTCTTTCCTTCAGTGAATTCAGTTGAGTTAGAAGGATCGTACTGTAATGTGTACAGTGATAGAAATATGCACAGCCTGTTTATAAGTGTAGCCATGTGCAGACCACACAAGAAATGAGTAGTCCAAAGGTTTGAGATTGTTCTGACTTCAGACTCTAAAATTTAGATAGAACGTGACAACCCATATGTAGTCTAAATTTACCTGGCTTTGTGTTGCCCACACAAAATGAGAAGACAATACAATAAAAGTCCTGGAGTAGATGTTGGAATATCCGGTTTCTAATCCCCGCTCTTCTGCCATGTGACCTTACATGGGTCACTTAATTTTCAAGGCCTTGGTTTATAGATCTATGAAGTGGGAAGTTTGGAAAGATGGCTCTCTTAAGGAAAGTCCTTCATAGTCGCACATCCTACCTACAGGTGTTTACCCGTAGACTGCCTACTTTTTATAGTTTCCGTTAACACGATCCTATTTCATCTCAAACTACTTTCTTTTTGTGTTTCCTTTTGGATTAGGTAATACAATCACACGGTTCAAAGTTCAAAAAGTCAAAGAGACATGAGGTAAAAGTCTTCTTTCCATACTTGGCCCTCAGCCACCCAGTTCCTTGCAGAAGAAACAACCAAAGCTAACAGTTTGTTGAATATTTTTCCAAAAACACTTATGCCTATACAAGCAAATAAGTACTATATATATTTTATTTTTCTTTCGTTTTTACATAAATGGTAAATACTCTGTGTAGTTTATATACTTTATTTTTTCACTGATGTTAGAAGTTGTTCTGTATCATATGAGATGTTTTCTCATTTTTTATGACTGTATAATATTCCATTGTATAATGTATCATTTCATCAGTCCTCTCCTTTTGGACATTTAGGTGTTTTTTTTTTTTTAACCTGATCCTTTTAAAAAGCATTGTGCAATGAATAACTTTGTACATTCATCATTTTCCAGATACGTGAATACATTTGTGACCTAGATAGAAACATAGCTCTGTTGGGATAGTGACGTGGTTGATGAAATATGTAATTTAATAACCAGTACATAAAAAAATTGGTAAATCACGGTCTCAACAATGCATTTCTAGAATTCCATCAACTTTGATGTACGTGTCCCCTACATGCCAGTGTGAGAGAGTGGCATAGTGGAGTTGACACCCTGCTTGATTCTGAAGAAAACCTATGAGAAAATCACATCACCTGGATGGCTGTTTCTTCATTGGAGCCCTAGATAAGCAAGTGGATTATATGTAGGGACCTTGTCCTAAACAAACAAATATATAAATCTTTGAAGACTGAAATCATACTGCAGAGCGAGACTTTCAATGAGAGGCATATAAGCAATCAGATGGCTGGAACAACAGATTTGTGCTTTTCAGCTCTTGCTGACTCCAGGGCATATGCGCACTGAGTGCTATTTAAATTGCTATTTTTCTTTTAAACTTTTTGCTAAGCACGTGTACCTGTAGTTGAATTTGTGTAAAATGCAACTTCCATGTATTCCCGCTTTACCAATAAGAAAACTAAATCTAAAGGAAGTAAACAGTTTACCGTTTACCGATATTTGCATAACAAAGTGGCACACCTGTGACCAGATCCTACAACCTCTCGTTTCTGACCCAGGGCTTTCTCCAGGACATCACAGGCTCCTAAATGAACCTGGGCTGTAGCTCCAGCAGCAGATCGAGCACGCTCAGTGGTTAGGGACTGCTTGGGATGCCATTCGCTCAGCGGAGAGCTAGGCTCTAGCTAGAGTTCAGAAAGCAGAGCTGCTTTCTTCCGATGACAAGATAACATTCTATAAGTGATTGTTGAAGTAATCACACAACATGTTGATTAGCAATCAGGAGGGCTCCAAATCAGAATTAAAAGCGATATAGAGGAACACTCTTCCCTAATTGGGACATAGTTGTCACTCCGAGATGAATTTATCAGTCACAGGGACTGGGAGGAAATGAGGATTATCTGGAAATGGGTAGTCGTATGTTCCCCAGTGTTTATGCTGTCACTTAATTTAGCCAGGAAAATCTAAGCCTTAGAAAAAGAGAAGTGATAGAAGCAAGGGATTGAAAAACAGAAGACTGGGGAATGTGCTGCAGTAACTGTTCCCCCGAAGCTGGCATTGCAGCAATGGCCCCCTTTCCCACCACCCCAGACACTCTTAGGGCCTTAACTCTGCTGGCCACCCGCTTCTCTGCATAACTGACTCTTACCCTTCAAGCCTCAGCTTAAATTTTGCTTGTCAAATGTCTACCCTATCTGAGCAGCCCTCTGCCCTCCACTCCACTCCGAGCCCTTATTACCGCCTTCTGTGTGTTTTCTTCAGTGTGTGTGTGTGTGTGTGTGTGGGTTATCGTGTGCCTCCCTGCTAGGTTGGGAGCTCTGTGAGGGCAGAGACTACATCTGTCCTATCCCGTTGTGTACACGATGCCT